AACGACCTGGATATCTCGCTGTCATAGTGAACCTCCAAACAGATCACATGCCAGTTTACTGATGGTGTCTGCCTACTATTTTAGCATCACGGGACTCTTGATGTCATACCCTAATGACTCATATTAGCTGTTAGCTTTTTCTGAAAATATTTACTTTCACTTCGCGTTTTGGTATCGCATCCAGTTCTTATTGCCAAGTTTTGGCTGCTGTTGAACCCCTTTCGAGAAGCCTTTTAACTACAAAAGACTCTCCCCTCTCCAGGTGCACATGTAGCTTGAGGTAACTTCACTAATGATATCTTATGTTAACTACCCATGGTCGTTACCTCTTACCTTCAGCCGCTGATGTCACCAAGGAGAGTGTGTTTAATTTTTAGCAATTTGCTTTCAAGTTCCATTATATTGTTGTAGCGGAACATGATTACGTGTCGTCCTACGCGGTATTCCTTTGTGACAGCGAAGTTATTAAAAGATTATGATTTATAGTAGGTTGGCCATTTCTATGGGAACTGTTGAGGTCTTTCCCCACATGGTGTCAGACATATAGGACTTCCAATGAGTCTTCTAGACTACAGAAGTTTACTGAGATCAGATGGGGAGAATTGATTATAGCTGGGTATGGCGGAAGGGAAAGTCCGAACTCATAGATCACCGTTGTTACTTACTCCTGGGCGTACCATCACCACTGCTGTCGCATATCAGTTCAGGTTGAAGATACCACAGGTATTTGAAGTTTATTAAACGCTTTATCAACAACACCTCCGATTATGAATCGTACCCAACAAGTGAAATCAAAAAACAGAAGTGAGGAGGTTCGAAGATATATTTGATAGGTTATCAATATGTCGACGATCGACTAATCTAGGCTGGCTAGTGATTGTAGGGGATGTTGAGCACGACGTTCCCATTAATGATTTGGTGCGGATGCATGACCAAGCGCCTTCAGCTAGGTGAATCCATTAAAACTAATGTGGTCAGCATCCAATGTCGAAGACTTACAGAGCTATTTATTTTGGGGATTTATTTACCACTACAAGGCTTTCAAGAGCTCTCTGATGTTTTTCTTGCCGTATCTTTTACAGATTATGGTTTATCGTGTTGAACTCTGCTGTTTGAGGATCGTGTATTGCTAGTCTCTGAGACACCAGAGGAATTTATTTCGCTACATCTTCGTCTCTCAGGATTACTATAAGTTGAAGGAGCTTACTCTTTATTGCTGTTTTGCCTCTGTAAAAGCGTCACAGTCTCAGTAGGGTAACGGCCAAGCAAGATACAATATGTATCTCAACGTTGTTTGTCGAGAGCTGTTCTGCGTTCCAGTGGACTATGCTCTGATGATAAGACAACTAAAAAGAGTAAGAAGTTTTATTTAGCAAAACTTTTCATTCAATAAAAGCTGTATGAATTGCGTATTTCAGACGTATTCGGTTTATATACAAGCAGACCAGACCGCATCACATCATTAAATAAATCATAGTTATACAAGATCAAGTCAAACGTGTCTGTGAGTGTGAGAAACTGAAACTTGTAGACTGAGAATAACTCAAGAATAGTTAATAATATAGTAGTAGCTAATAGATCAAATAAAAGCTTATAATGAGAGAAATGTAAATATTTATAATCTAGTCACTTAAATGTTATACAATAAGAATATATATTTACTAACAATCCATAAATAGTTCTCATAAGTTACCCAAAATTCGATCTTTTTCGGACGCAGACACTCCAGCGAGCTAATTTGCACTTTTCAGCAACTTTCTCATAACTCTCGCACATGGACGCTTTTGAGTATACAGATTTTTAGTCGACAATCTGATAAGTCACATCTGATTCAAAATAAGTATATTAACCTACGTAAACCTAACACTAAACAGTCCTTTTTTTTCAGACAAATTTACGCCAAATTATCTATTTTCGCTCGGCACAAGTGTACTCCAATGACTTACTTTCCCCTAAATGTACGCCAGATTTCTTAGTTTTCGTAAGACTGTTTATTTTCCATTCGAATTAATATTAACCGTTTTGACTTGGTACATGCTTATGAAGTTCATCACTACTTTCTCAGGGAGACCAAGTTTTCTACGCAGCCGGCATGATTTAGGGGAATGGTTCATGTCTGGAAAAATCATTTTCACTTAGAGTTTTTAAATATATCAGCGTTAGGATATTAGTCAAACGTCTACATTGTGGCTGACAGGAATGATTATAGTTACCCGCAGTCTGATAAATAATTAGGTTAGCATTTCATACCGGGTTTACTAAATATACGAAGTTTTCAAAAATGTTTCCTATTTAATAAACTATGCTAATTTATACAAACTTTTACCGTCTACATCTTATTTTCTTACTCATCACGTCCAAGTGAGATTGTGGGTGTGTGTGTAGAAAAATCGATCTAAGGACAGTTGACAACAATGTCGAAAAATCAGAAATATTTCTCGTGTATCATGAAACAACTAGCAGAGGGATGCTGAGGTTGAATATCATAATTATCAAATTTGGCTAAGTCGGACGATGAGCATGAGAATCTTCATAAACTACTATTGCTGAAATGTATTTCGTATCGCCATTCGCCACATACAGTCCCGCGTAATGGATACTGGCATAGGTGTTGAAGTGGAAAGATTTAGGAGCTGTTAAACCATAAATTCACTGAGTATATATGTAGATTGCATTGCTACAGACTACGCGATAACCTCTGTCAGTGGTTTAAGACATTAGGTGACTATGATGAATAGAAGTATCCAAATTATTGTAAGAAATGGGAATTCCCTAAACGGTACGATCTAAGCCAGGCAGAACTAGATGTGCAAAAACGAGCATATTGCATTTGGAATTCGAAATCAGGCAGTCATCAGGTACAAAGTAACCATTAGTTCATACAAACACCACAATGTCCTCTTCCAATTTTTCCGAGTATTGTTGTCTGCTATACCTGTTTGATATAAAATCCCCAAGTATCTCATCTGTTTAATATTATTAACGCATTGGTTTCTTGACGATTCAAACCTAAGTAATTCCCGCGAATAATTGGATCATATCACACAAACCAATGAGTCAGATAGGATACAAGTCAAGACAACAAGAAGCGAGCTCAGAGAAATCAACTGGTTTATACAGTCTTATTTTTATTGGTTGGTTTGTCTTTCGAAATACTATATATCCTATTGTGTATACTCAGATTTTTGTCTTACTCAAAGAACGAAAACCTTATTGAAAGTTCAGACTCCTCCTTATATATTCGTATCAGGTGTCTATAAAACAAACGAGTTTGCTCATTTCTCTGTATTAATTTTTCTATTCAGTGTTTATAAGATAATGTATACTCCATCAGATCTAAATGTGCCGGATTCAATCTAGATTTAGGTAATTAATGCTGACAGACAAGAGGTCTAAGAATAAGATGAAGTGACCATCCAGTGTTTCCTAATATTTGAAAATTCTTCAGATAACACAATTCACTAGAGTGAGCTCCCAATCCCACTATCTTAGGGAAAATTTGGGGAGCTTTATATAAATTTTGAGGAGAAACCTCAGTGTTATAATATTCTTGGGAAATATTGGGGAAAACTCGAAATTTCTTCAAACGTTTTAGAGTTTTTATGCCATATCCCCGAAATTTCCTCAAAATTTTCTATAACAATTTCCCAAAAATTTACCCAAAATACACGTATCCGAAATTCATTCTAGTATTTGACTTATTTAATTCCGTTATTCACTAACAGTATTTAAGTTCATAATTTTATACAAGGATTGACGATATGTACATTTCAAATAACATTCATTCATACGATCGAGCTGGAGTCAGGTTCAGGGCTACAAAAAACTGATTAACATGTTTTTAAAGAATAGATTACAGTGTTGTTTTGTTTTTTGCTGTTATGTATGAATGATAAATATTCGGTATTTTGATTGTTAGTAGCTTCTGTAACCTAATTTGTATTTATTTATTTGACCAATATACCTACCTGTTGATGGAAAAGTCAACATCAGAACAATTCATGTTGTTTACTTTTTATTTTCAAATTTTTCAATGTTTGGTTTGATTTCTAACAATAATATCATACTTTCACACATATTTTGTCGTGTGACTTCGGAACATTTACATGTAACTCAATAATTAGATTATAATCCTTCATGATATCAATAAAAACTCAATATTCTCCACAACCCTATAGTGATAATTATCATTTGCTCACTGGTAACTAGCTTTAAGAGGTAGTTTTCAGAGTTCTAGTGAAAGGTAGTGACCAGTGGAGTTCAACGGTGTCAGGTGTGAGTTAGTTACTTACTCAAGACAATGAAAGATGGTCGCGCAATATTTTGAATTGGTTGAAGTTAGAATTTAACAATGTTGGATGATGGCTCAGTGGTCTAGAAGTTAAACGTTAGCGCGCGAAACTGAAGGTCCTGGGTTCGACTCTAGCTGGATGCGCACTGTTAAGGAGTGCCATACTAGAACGAAACGGCCGTCCATCGCTTCCACGTTTTCAGTGGTGACTTAACTTGGATCGGTTCTTGACTTAAATAAAGTCGTAGTATTCATTTGAAACTCAGTATATCAATAAGGCTATTGCTAGTGTTAACTTATGACTCCAATTGCCTAGGATAAGTTAAAATCGTACCCTAATTTAATTATATATATTTCAGTAGTAAAAATCGCGCAAATGAACACACTATGAACACTATGGATTCCCTTGTTTTTTGGTAACTATATTTATTCTATGTTAATCATTTCTACCCATCAAATACAAGACCGTTCAGTACTAAAGTAAAAATGGTTTAAAATATGTTATATAGAAGAATCCTAATGGACAAAACTATGTTATTTGAAGCCATAAGTGGATAGTTTAAAATTCATTATGAGCTCCAATGCTCTGGGCTGTTTACTTGTCTGTCAGCTGAATCTCATCATTAAACAGATTAAATCTGACTAAGATCCAAATAAATTTCAGTAACCACTTTTTACTCAACATTAGTGATTGAGTAAAAATAGTCTATGAAAAATATTAATCTCTGTATTTAATTAATATGCAGTAAATATCATTACATAATAGCTGTTTTGATAAGAATATTGAAGAAGAAAAAAAAGTTCTATGATGAATACTGACTGACAAAGTTGACCAAAATACTTTCTTTTCGCCCCATTAAAATAAACCCAACTTGAACATCAGTAATGGTGACAATGTGTCGTTAATAATTTCTTGAATAAATGTATGCAGTGCTTTGGATTGTTTTCCCATTATTATTATTATTATTATTATTATTATTATTATTATTATTATTATTATTATTATTATTAGTAGTAGTAGTAGTAGTATTGGTATTAGTATAAGTAGTAGTATTAGTATTAGTATTAGTAGTGGTAGTAGTAGTGGTAGTGGTAGTAGTAGTAGTATTGGTAGTAGTAGTAGTAGTACTGAGATCAATTTTTTTAATGATAGAAATGATTGATTCAATTGGAAATTGATCCCTGATAATATTTCTATCAGTATTATGATTATATACTTGTTTAATACTAATATTATCACAATTTTTCATCCAATGTTTAATTCCACGGATACTGATGATAATCATTTAAGATGATATTGATGAATAATGAATATGTACATGAATATAATTAATACATGTACATGCTAATGTGTATTTAGATGTATCGTTGATTTACTTTACGTATCATTATTATTAAAATGTACTTTTTGGACGTGATTCTTCAGGATTTGAATTCATACCTCGATGTAATAATTCTGATAATAATGCATCATGTTGTGATGCTACAATAAATGGTTCTTGTTGTCCATAAACTAATTTATTACTCTTGTAATCTTTATTTAAATAACGAGATGGTTGGTTTCTATGGACAGAATTATTATTATTATTATTGTTACCATTACTATTATTATTATTATTACGATCTTTTACATTAGTTGTATATATTTCTTGTTTATAATCACGTGGTAAAGTTGAACTTATTTTTGTATTCATCGGATTGTAATATTCTAAATCATGATAAGGATTCAATGTTGAATTAGATGAATGTGGATCGAATAATGTATGAATTTCATCAGCATTAATATATGGTCTATCTAAAATAGCATTACTTAAAATATTTGCTATAGGATAATTTGAATTAGATAATTTACGACCAATGGTATTACTAATCATTGGAGCATAAGTTTTATTAAGATGATGTTGATTTTCCATAGACAGACGTTTAGATGGATCAAAGTTATGATCAATTTCATCATTTCGTATTGTTATGTTGGATTTCTTTGATAGTTCTGTTGTGTGTGAATTTTTTATGACATTTACACCTAAAATAGAATAATAAATTCAAAGTTTGACTAAACGAAAAGGTGCGAAAGTGAAAGAGACTGATTCTTCATTGGAATATTATTATGACTTATGGCCCCTATCTAATATATCACACAATTAAAATCAACAATCAACAAATCGATTTCTATGACCCTTGCCCCCATACTAAACCAATGATACGCCAAGTGGCACTAATAGCTTTGAGTCAACTCTAAATCTTTATTAGTCTTCGATAAAGTATATTCTTGTGTTACCCTGCTCATTGAGCCCAGAACATAATAATCAGCCTCCATTGTATGAATATTGTATTACAGGTATGCGTAGTTTATATACAAGCAGACCAGACCTCATCACACCATAAAATGAAAAATAATAATCCTACAAGATTGATTTAAAAGTTCCTGTAGCCAGGAATGGCTTTAAATAACAGATTGAAAGTAAACTAAGAATAGTAAATCGTATAATAGTAGTTAATGGGTTAAATGAAAGCTTATGATAAAGGGGATATAAATATACATAACCTAGTTACTTAATAATTATACAAAAGAATATATATGTGATAATAGTCCAACAATAATTCTGGCAGTTACTATTCATTTAGTATTTGTTGGGTAAAACATATATGATTCAGTGTAAGCGTAAATATAATCATCTGCATTACGTTCAATATTCAATATCAGTACAGGATTTTGTGGAGATAATAGAGTTTTCATAATTTTACATTACAAACCAATCTTAGTTAGACCACTATTAAAAATCTGGAAGTATTGGAAGTCTGTTTCACTCTAGTATGGAACTCCTCGGCAGTATGCATCCATAATATCGCACACGGGAATCAAACCTAATACAACACTTTTATGTAAATCAGTCAATAATGTAAGCGAATAATCAACAAGATCAAGATGTGATGCAATGAGGATCAATTAAATAGTCTGTCTTAAAGTTAGGATAACCCATATAGGTGTAACATTGTCTTAGACACTACAATAAACAACAGCTACTTTACTTACTGTTTTTCAGGTTTTCATAAACATACCTTCTATCACATCATCCATCCTTAAAACTAAAATCCATCATCAAACTGAAAGCAAACTATACAACAATTAAACATTGAAAAACACAGAGTAAAAGAAAAAAGACTAAATTACATAATAAACAATTACCTATCTCTTTTGTTTCTTCTTTCAAATCTGTATATTCATCATTATTCATTATGTTATCATTCAATGTATCAGTTAATTGATTACGATCTATTACAGATTGATTAGATATAAGTTGATTGTTTGAGTTTGATGCTATTCGTTTACTTTTAGTTCGTTTTTTCTGACTTAATTCATTATGATTGCTATTTGATAATTCTGTAACATCATTATTATTATTATAATCATTATTATCAGTAGTAGTATTAGAAGTTATAGCTATATCAGAATTGAATTGATTTATGTTATTCTCTTTGCAGGTATTCAGTTCACCAATAGATTTGATTGTTTCCACAATCTTTGAAGTGTTCCGAACTGATAATTCTTGATTAAAAGTTAAAACAAAACAAAATGACGTAGAAATAAAATTGTTTCGTATAGTTTTTGATTTAATCATATTAATAACAGAAGGGGTTTTTGTGGATATTACAGTAACTTCAATAGTTGAGATTATGAGTAAATTGAAACTAGATCACCATGGAAAACCTGAAAACACTGAATGGCCAACTCGTCCTATTGTGGGACTCCTCAGCAATGCACCGGCTCAGTGGGATAGAGGTTAAGCGTCCGCACGCAAGACCGATAGGTCTTGGGAACGAATTCCGAGAGCGAGATCGTGGCTACGCACTACTGAGAAGTCCCATACTAGGACGAAACGGATGTCCAGTGTTTCCAGGTTTTCCATTGTGGTCTAGCTTCAATTGACTCATGAGATCAACTATTTAGTATTGTTTAATTTTAAAGTGATATTCACCATAGTAGTTAGAATATCATCCAACTTCATTGATTATTCAACGTCTGTTTCGTTCAAGTGATTTCAGGGGTACACATCATTGAAGAATTGCATTCCAGACAGAATAAAACAGCTGTCCAATGTTCATTAAATTCTAGTGATACTCAAACTGAGTTTATTCTTTAATGACTATCAACTGTAAATTAAAACCAATCTTTACATAATATCAGAAGGTGTTTTTGTGAATATTATAATAAATTTGATGGTATAGACCATGAGTTAACTGAAGCTATACCACTATGGAAAACCTGGAAGCAGTTGACGGTCGTTCAACAGTGCGCATCCACGATACCGCCTCTCAAGATTCGAACCCAGGGCGCTTAATTTCGTGGATTAGTTGAAGTTAGACATTAAAACCATTGGATACCGGCTTAATTATATTAGGTTTAACAAAGTGTCCAGTTATTCAATCTACTAACAAACAAATGATAAATTTAAAAAAATTTATTACCATTGCTAACATAGTTAAATCTAATCTGAATGATGAAAATTCCTGAAAATTAACTTCTCAATTGTTATTCAATAGTATTGTGGTATGTAATACTTATGTGGACAGACACAAATAGTACGTAGCAGGAATTGGAAGTTGATTGTTTACCAGCAGAAGAGTAAAATAAAGAGAAAAGCAAGGAAAACGAAGGACGATCAAAATAATGACAGGATTGGAAGAATGATGAAGTATGTTAAAGATAACTGAAGAAAGATATACAAACAACGTACCGAATGTATGATTTTCGTATTTTACAAAGCTACTGTTTGTTTTTGTATTAAACATAGATTGCTTTTCCTCACATGAGTTCACATTCACTATAGTAGTGGTTTTGAAAGGTTCCATTAATAGTTTTTTTTGATACTTTTTTTTCGTAAGGGATTATCACCCTTTTGTCAGTAGAAGATTAATTATTTATCAATTCAACCATAAGGTGAAGTCAAATTAGTTCAAATTTCATATATGGATCTACAGTTAATTTGTGAGATACTCTGATTAGTGAATTTCAGCCCTGTCACCAGCACCAAACTTTATCGTAAATTGATTGAATGTGAAGATATTAAGTATTGAGTAATAATGTGTTCACTAAAAGACGGAGTTTCTGGATATAATCCTGATAACGTTACAGATGTATGTCCTATGTTCTGACAAAAAGATCTTCCAGTCCACTGGTTTCTTAACTGATGTCAATCAGTAACAAAATTATGTCCACATCGTGCAGATTGTTGAATTTCTTTGAAATCGTGATCCGATCAATATCAGATCATCACTGAAGCCGGAAAGCACTAGAAGGCCGTTTCATCCTTAGATGGCAATCCTAAGAAGTGTGCATCTACAACACTGCACACCGGAATCAAACCCAAGACCTTTGATCTCAAGCGCAAACGATGTTTAACACCAATGAATCCATGAAATGGAGCAACCATCTTCCGTTGCCTTGGGTGGATAACTGCCTCACTACCTCCCCAGTGTTTTTAGGTTTTCAGTGTTGGTCTAACTTGGTCCAGTTCATGATTTAAATGATATCCAAGTTAAATGTACCACCACAAAAGTAGAAAGATCAGATAACTGGTCAAAGATTTAAACTAGACAACACAACACAAGAAGAAATCAACCCAAATGTTGCTCAGCTTAACTTGATGATGACTCCTACTTCAACTACGAGTTAATAACCAAATAGAAATCGAGAGATAAACTCAAAAGTAACTAGATTGTAATCTGAATTTTTAGTTATTTCTAGACAAATAGAATTGTATAGATATCTGCATATATCTTAATGACCACTTTTCTTGAAACAGATCCATTGAATGCTTCCCTGTTTCCGTCAACTAACAATCCTTATTTAAACAAGTTAGGAAACATAATTTCCACTTCAAGTGTTAAGAACCGTTTTGTCAAGATGAATAAATTATACAAATTCAGTCCATCAAAGTTTAAGGAGAACTTTCACTGTTTCGATAGCTGATATTAATTTTTAGGTGAATAAACTTCAAATAATAGTAAGCACTTCACTCCGAGTTAAATTGAACAATGGGAAGGATTGGAATACAGGAATTATGTTTTCTCCTATTTATAACTCGTAAAGTGGATGCACTTTACAAATGAAAAAAAACACATTTAACTCCATCAGTATATTTCGACAACCTTTGACTTTCTATGTTTCATCAAAGAAATTATGATATTCGACATTAACAGTTCAAATATAAACAAGCAGATTATTGATCTCCGAGGAAAGGACACTAATGAACCATTAAAAATTGAGAGTAATTACCTCCCAAAGGTGCAGTCGAATATTTTTCAATCTTTGAAGTGTACCATACAAAAAATTACTGATTGTCATGTATTATTGATTAACTCACCAAAAAGTTTCAAAATTATTAGAAATATGATGAAATGAGAAAGCTCTAAGAAAACAGTTAACTAAATTTCTGGAATCATTTATCTCAGTATTATAATATATGTATGTCTTCCTATGTTATCCACCTAACTAATGCGTTGAAATAGCAACAGAAATAGGTCCGTTTTTGTATGAAATATAAAAGTTCAGTCAGCCAAGGTTATATAAAACTATCTAAATAATTCAAAACGTTCACGCGGAAATTCACCTACCATAAAGTATGTAGCTAAATTTAATTGACACAAAACAGTTCATCTACTTATACATTTTTAAAGTAGTTAAAGTCTGAAACCAAATGTTTTACCTTCATTTCGTAAATTAAAATCGGAATATTCGTCATTTTGTTTTTGACAATGATCATTATGCTCTGAATTGTTTTTAGCTTGCTCAAATTGGGCTTCTATATCTTGTTTATCATTATCCACCTCAGGATAACCATAATCAAAATGACTGTTATTATCCAAGGAATGAATAGATTTATTTAATGAAGAAGTTTCCTTCTCATCAGAATGATCAAATGTGATTTGTGTTTGTTTGTCAGATTTCTCTTTGATATTTGACTGGGATAACAGTAAAAAATAACAGCAATAATGAAAATTCCTTTTTTTAAAAAAGGAGCATTTATCTCAGTTTAGTAATTTTCAAATAGTTTAAAATGTCTGTATCTGTTTATACAGTATTTGTGTTGGAAGATAGATTCTAGGTGTCACTTATGATTCTAACATTTTAGTGGTCTTGGTATGTTTTTCTTTCTAAGTAAATGAACTGTAAGTATGGGGTTGTGGAGATTATCACGTTTCTGATTGAGATCATGAACCGTTTGATGTTAGACCACTATTGAAAGCCTGTATGGCCGTTTCGTCCTATTATGGGGCACCTCAGCAGTGAGCATCACAATCCCGCTCGCGTTCGTGCGCGAGACCGAAGGCTCTGGTTTCGGATAATGAGAGTGGGAGCTGATGGTTGTGAGTTCAAATTCCACAGGGATTATCAATTCATTCAAGTTTGCCTATTTCCAACTAGCTTGAAACCTGTGTTCAGAGTTTCCGATCAGTTATCCCGAAACCCCTAAATTATTCAATAATTTGCATCACCATTTATAGGAGCTTGTATAGTCACATTTATACTCAGTGCTTGTTTCAGGTATGTGGGCTATTTGTACGAATGCCTTAATATCATGTTCGTTTAAGAAATATTATGGTCTTATAAATACATGCGATACCAAATAGTATATTCAATGATCATTGCTGTTAAAACATATATATATATATATATATATATATATATATATATATATACGGTAAGGAATACCTGTCGCTGTTATCAAATAACTGCCCAGCGGCTTTCACAATCGACTGACTGAACATTCGTGCTAACACATGTCTTTATAAAGGAGGCCATGATGGTGTTTTTCAGAGCAAGTGTGAAAGGTTTGCAACTCAACCGTTCCGATTAGAGAATACAATACCACCAATAACATTCATGTGAGCTACAAAAGTTCTTCATCATCTCAAAAATTAGTTAAATTTGATTAGCTAAAGGCTAACAGTAAAGTTTGTGATACACTTGAATCTGTTTTACAAAAGATACTCATCCATCGATTGAAAAACCAAAGAGTTACTCAATAAGCTACTGACTTATGATATCCATGTCTCAGTTACTAGGTATGATATTTGCATTAGTTGAGAAGTAGGAACAATAGCACAGCGATGCGTGTAGATTAAGCGGATGAGTCACAAACTGGGCGAAACTCTGTCCCTAAACTTCACCGCAAACACGTGTTTAGAACGTAACTAATATTCTGATGTGCACACAATACTTAAATACATGTTTCAATAGATCATATTTCCGAAGGAATTCAAGAAAACTCAGTGGTGGATGCATAAAATGGGAAAACCAAACCGCTTAAGTTATAATTATTACATTGTTGTTGACTATTATGACTTTAATAACACTGACAGATAACGCTTTATGGGTTATGAATTTAATCCGCATCACAAAGATTAATTCCGTGATGTAGACATATCCAGCTGAAGGCTCTTCAATAGTACTAAACAAGTGTTTTGTGATCCAACCATTTATCGTAATCGAAAGTATAACTTCTAAACTATTAACCATTTGTATTTGCAGTCAGTTTAGTAAGATAAAATGTTTTTCTATATGCTATAATAAACAGTTAGACAGTGCTTCTTTCAAGACAAATATTATCATAAAACATTTTAAACAGAAATACCTTCATTGCTAACTCGGTCATTTTTCTCCATCTAGCATAATCTTTACGTCTACGCCTAAAATGTAAAATGAAGAGTATATTACTGAAAAGTGGAAAATAAGTAATACAACAAACTGTTACATAATATCAGTGAATATGTGTAACTCCACTAAGTATGTTAAGGATTGATACCAAAAAAATATTAAGGAATTTTGTGATCAAACACCTTTTTCCAATTAATTCACATATAACTATGTAAGTTTCGTCACAATGGTCTAAGTTAGTCGTAAAATACCCAAAGTTTTCTAAAAAATTGTAATATGATCATAACTTTCAGGAGTTTTGTGGTGAATGAATCTAATGTTCAGGATGCATTTGTCACAGATTGATCTTGGCAGATGTTAAAGTAGTAGATAAGGACTGTTGGAGAGTTCCATACTAGGATAGAACAACTGTCTAGTGCATCTTCATTTTCACTGGTGCTTCAAATGACAATAATCTGTGACGAATACAACCAAGAAGAGGATTATTAGTTAAATAGATAATGTAATGGCAGTGTTCAAGTAAAAAGTAACTTAAAATAATGATTTTTAAACCAAAGTTATTTCTAAATTCTGAAAATACATTTTTTCACAAGATGATACTAAATAAATAGAAAACTGATGAAACATTCGTTAAAAAGTACTTGAAAAGTTATTAGACTTCAGTGAAATTTCAAAAGTTGAAAATTCAACTGATTACATTTTTCTTTAGTCCGACTGATCAAACTTTTAATGAGCTTCCAAAATTCCAAGGTCATTTGGACGTCCCAGAAATATTCCTTGCTTCTCTATCTATCTATTTATCTATCTATCCATCTACAAATCTATTTGTCGTATCACATAAAGTAGGCTTCTAACTTATTTTCACAGTTGAATTCATGGGTCGATCCAACTTAAACCATCAAAGAAAATCTTGATGCGTTCAACAACTGTTTCACTCTAGTATGGGATTCTTCAACGGTGCTAATCCATGATCTCGCGCACGGGGCTCGAAACCTGGATCCCCATGTTAGTCTAGTTTAGATCGACTCGTCAAGTGAACTGTGAAAATAGCTATTCTCGAAACGTTTTATCAGACTAAATTATACATTATATGACAAGCTTTTTCTTATTTCTGACAACATCTTCACTTCAGTCCTTAATTCGGTATTAAATTATTAATTATATCAGAAGGGGTTTTTGTGGATATTTTAGTAACTTCAATAGTTGAGATCATGAGTTATTTGAAGCTAGGCCACGATGGAAAACCTGGAAGCACTGGGAAGTCGTTTCGTTTTATTGTGGGGTTCTTCAGCAGTGCTCATCCACTATCCTGCCTCGCAAGATTTCAACCCATGACCTATCAGTCTCACGCACGAGCACTTAACCTCTACATCACTGAGTTGGCATCCAACAATGTCAATATCTAACTTTAAATAATCCACGAGAATGAGCGACACATTCACCATTGTCATCAGTGAGTTACGATCTCACAAGTGATCCAGTTGAACTCCACTAGTCACTACTTCTCACTAAAACTCCAGGATATACATCTTAAAGCCAGTTATTAGTGAGCATATGTTGATTACTATCAGAAGGAGCTTTGTGGATATTATAGTAATAGAGTAAATATTATAATAATACATAGTACTTTAGTTCGTATTTAATTTATTAAAACTATGGTTTAAGCACAAGTTAGATAATAATGAGTGAATGAATGACATTGAAAAGATGATTGTTTAATTTTCGCTCTATAACTTTATGTACAAATTTCAATAGTATATTAGATTATTGAATATAAACATGTATTCTATTCACAGAATATCAAGTTGACCTTGATAACCGTTCAAAAATAAAAATTCTGATCTTGAAAAGTAATTTCTTTTCTTTGTTTAAATAAATTAATTTCATTTATATTAATTTAAACAACATGCAACGTGACCTGATTATCGGTATCATTACCAAGGTTTGATTTGATAATTTCGAATAAATTGAACATTGAATAGATTGTTATAAATAAATAAAAATAATATATTTGTAATATCCCAATGAGTAGGAAAATTAGATTTTCTAACGTTTCGTGACTTAGTTCAAGTCACTTCTTCAGAGAATAAATAACCAAATTAAAATTAATCCAAGTTTAAATAGTAGTTCCGTTGTACTATTTAAACTTGGATTAATTTTAATTTGGTTATTTATTCTCTGAAGAAGTGACTTGAACTAAGTCACGAAACGTCAGAAAATCTAATTTTCCTACTCATTGGGATATTACAAATATATTATGTATTTATAACCTCATTATGTTCCATTTAAACAATTTTATATAAATTAAGAATTATCAGATTCATGTGTTTTTTTGTGGAGATTGTAGTCATTTTAATAATTGAATTCATGAGTCGATTTAATCTAGATCATAATGGAATATTTCGAAACACTGGACAACCGTTTCGTCCTAGTATAGGACTCTCCTAATTGGAAAGGCCATCCAGTGCTTCCAGGTTTTCTATGGTCGTCTAACTTTAATCGACCGATGAATTCAATTGTTCGATTATTACTATCTCCACAAAATCTTATTCTGATTACTAAATAACTGATCATTTATGGTCTTAAATTGGTATGAACTTTCTTTTTTTTTCAACTATAAGCCCACCTTGATACTAAGAGTAATTCTACATGTTGAATGTTTTCAGTTTGAATTTTTAAACAGAAATACATTGCAGATTAATCTGTGATGTAATTTATTGTTTGTTCGTTTTGGTTATAAAATCCAGTTGTTTCTAATGAATAGATCATTTGGGAATTAAAAAAATTGCCTGTCTAGAATACCAAAGTAATATTCACTCATATGTAAGTAGTGTATAATAGTTAGAATAAACTGCATTAATTTCATCTATTTCAGTCTGTAATTTATCAATAAGATTGAAGTGGTTCACACGTTATTCTTTAATACTGATATACGATAGTGAAAGTATGGATAAACAAGCATTTAGTCTACTGACTATCAAAAGTATGTGATTTCTTTTGCTCTCACTCGTTTCTATTCCGAACTCGCTGAGTTTGACTGTTTATAACTGTGTTCAATAAAGTATTATATAGTCTTTACTCATTCTGGTTCTCTATTCTTGGTCATGGATCATGAATTTCACATAACGTGATTAATCTCATTATCGTATTAAGCTTAGTATCCCTGATAGAGAGAAAATATATTTTAAACCGTTCATTATATCAAATACTAGATTGCACAAGTATAGATCGTGACATATTACTAATTCTTCTTAGTATAAAGAGTGTTAAATGTTAATTCTTTCTAATGTATGTTGTAAATGACATTGAATCCAAGCCTATCATTAAATACAAATTCTATGTTGTTAATCTTAAACCTTAATCTTAAGTCCCTAATCTTAATGCTAAATCTTTATAACTTTTTAATCACTAGCTAGGAGCAATGTATAAATGTCTAAGATACTATCTGGATTCATATGAATGTTCAAGAAAGCAAGTGTTCTATATCTATATGGACGAATTCGGACATAACTGTTATTGTGTTTTATAGGGATAGTAACCTTTAAATGAAAATATTTTTACCCTTTATAATATTATTGCCTTTTTTATGAACTAATTATACAGAAAAGCTGTTTTCTATTTCTGCAACAATTAGCTATCATTCATTGGGATTGCTTTCTCGAACCGTATCAAATTGAAATGATGACCATCTATTATATCGTTGTTAATTCTTCTGAATGAAATATAATATAATAGGTATTGTTGAGAAGTTCTACTGATTTATTGTTCAATGTGAATCAATATGTAGAATGTAGAATTAAGAGCTAGTACTACGCTCAAGGTTATGAATTTTGGGTTTAGAATTAGAGATAAGATTAAGGATATGATATTGACTTAAGAATAAAGATTTCGGGTTTAAAAACAGATTTAAGATAAGGATTATGATGCTAAGTCCAAAATCCTAACGTTAACTCCATGAACCAAAGCCCGATACTAACCTTAGACTCTAGCAGTTAAGAACCTATTTGAAACTAAGAAAAGTTCATTAATCATGTGGAAATTACTTATTTCCTCTGGAATTCAAACAAAATTGTCAACCAACATCAAAGTCAGAATTTTGAATACAGAAATTAAGACAGTTCTACTGTATGGGACTGAAACTTCGAGAACTACTATAACCATAGTCAAAAGGGTCTAGGTATTTATAAACAATTATCCACACAAGATACTCAATATCCGTTGGCCGGATACAACAGTAACAACATACTGTGTCAGAGAACAAGTCACCTTCGTGCTGATGAGTAAATTAGCAAAAGATGCTGGAACTGGATAGGACAAACATTGCGGAAATTATTAAAAAGCACCATAAAGCATGACCTAACATACAATCCTCTAGGGAAAATAAAAGAAACGGACCAAAAAATATATTGCACCGGAAATTGGAGCCAGGCATCAAAAGAATGAATAGTACTTGGAAATAACTAGAAAAAAGAGTCTAAAACAGAGTTGTTTAGAGATCCCTAGTCGGAAACATAACAGCGTAAGTAAGTAAATTATCCTTCACTTATTTATACTTGTCACTTTCTGATTGGTTAAAATAAGTCAGTACCTCAAAGCCAATCAGCATAAAATTATTTTTAAAAAAATCACATTTAGCTCATCACTATAGTGAATTCAAATTCTGTATTGAAAAATAATCACTTACCTAGAAATATACCAAGCTAAAATTAACATTCCTAAAAATGTGACCACAATGAATATTAATGCAGTCAATGTCATTGCACGATCAACTGATCTTTTAATCATAAAACCTTCATTATTCTCATGATTCTCATGATGATTTATATTTTCTAAAATGAAAAAAAACAAGAATAAAAATCATTATATAATACTTTATTAAACTTTAGAAATGAGTAGTTTTGTAAAAGTATCATTATTAGTATACTTCTAAGTAATTTACTTACTTACTTTACTTACGCCTGTTACTCCTCGTGAAGGAACATAGGCCGCTCACCAGTATTCACCATCCAACCCTGTCCTGGGCAATCTTTCCCAGCTCCTTCAAGTTGTTATTCATCCTTTCCATTTCTGATTTTATTTCCCGACGTAATGTGTTCTTTGGCCTTCCTCTTTTCCGCCTTCCTACAGGATTCCAAGTTAGGGCTTGTCTCGTGATGCAGTTTGACAATTTCTGTAATGTATCTCCTATCCATTTCCATCATCTTTTCCTAATTTCCTCTTCAGCTGGAAGCTGGTTTTTTCTCTCCCACAAAAGGCTATTGCTGATGGTATCTGGCCAATGGATGTTGAGTATCTTGCGTAGACAACTATTTATAAATACTTACACCTTCTTGACGATGGTTGTTGTAGTTCTCCAAGTTTCAGCTCCGTACAGTAGAACTGCCTTGACATTCGTATTGAAGATTCTCACTTTGATATTGGTTGAAAGTTGTTTTGAGTTCCATATGTTCTTCAATTGTAGGAATGCTGTCCTTGCTTTGCCTTCTGAGTAATTCTATTGTTAATATTCATAATTGATTTCTGATCAATCTTTGTTGACATACATGCACCTTGTAGGAACCATCTTGATATATTCACTATATTGAAATTTGTATAGAATAGATGGAATTATGGCTAAGGGTGAAGTCCAAGACCTATATTTCGTCTTATTATGAAATCTATCAGCTGGATATACTTATATGTTAATATTGATGTCCACAAGTTAGTTCCTAGTGAATATCATGTCAATGTGTTCGAAGCGAAAGATATTGTGTTCGTGTCCCATTGGAAACATTAACACAAAATGCGCTTTCTAAATTCCCTAACCAGTCACAATTCCATCTATGGTAAGATAGAAGCATATTTGATAATTAAACTAATTTAATGACACTTAAATTGATAGTTAATATTTATTAAATGAAATTAAGTCCATTGAATTTATTATGACTGAGTAAATAAATGGGAATAGGAAACTTTGAAAACTATTCTCCCTTGAATCATTTTACATACATCTTTTTAATTTGTATTAATTAAATGATCGACTTAGGGTTTTCCTATACATTCCTAGTTGTAAGTTCCCAATTGACGTATTAAATACTGTCATATTAAATTCACTTGGTGTTGTTTTACTTGTATCTTCCGATTGTTATTTAGGACATAAACTGATCAGTCTCATGTTGGCATATGTGCATCCTCTGAGGATTGCCTCAATATAGCCTTAAGTCACAAGGTTTTTAAGCAAAGATGGATAGTGGCTAGCAGTGGAATCCGGGACGCGCGTTTATTTCTATTTGGGACCACTGGTCAGCTGGATGTACCTGCATCACAGAGTTGATGTTCACTTTGGGACTCTAACCTAGTACCATTCGCTTCAAACGCCATCATATTATCCACTTAGCTACTGAGTCCTGATAGCCACGTGCTTGTGAAATGAGGTGAAGTTTAAATTCACTTGGTGTTGTTCTACTTGTATCTTCTAATTGTTATTTAGGACTGCAGTTGATCGGTCTCATGTGTATTATGTCATATTATTTTTCGTACATAGATCATTCTTAATTCCTTATGAACCCATTATTCAAACTATTATCAAGAAAATCACTAATATGTACATATGGTGAATTATCATTTATGCTGTGCTATGATTTTGTATAATATGTATTTAATCCTATGCTTTTTAAAGTTTGAATAATATAAGGTGCTGTATTCTCTAAGTTGGATAGTTTAATTGTGAAGCTTTCATTGCAATTCCAGATGACATTTGTTGTGTCTTGCCAAAAAAGAAGGCTGGTTAATGATTGAGAATGACTAGTTGATATCACGTACTATGTTGCTAGTGGGACCAGTGACCAATTTCATGAATTTATAGACTGACTAATGAATGATAATCAAAGCCTTAATACTGATTGGCCCTCGGGCCCCTTTCTAACCTAAGGGTCAATCAGAAGACGTTGATAGTAGGCAGATTAGTTCTCTATTGTATCTAATTCAATCACGGCTAAAAACTTATAAAATAATGTATTGAAAATCCCTGACCGCATAGCACGCCAACTTAGAATTTGTGCTCTTAGCACTATCATACAATATATGACTGAGGAAGGAGGATACATTACATAATCAAATAGCAATAATTAAAGAATAGTAACGTGTATAAAAACAATTAATAGATCAATTGGAAGCTTACAATAAAGGGAATATAGAAATGTAATATTATAGTTATCTACTAATTATGCACTGAAAATATAAATAATAATTATCCGGAAAATAGCTCAGTGAATTTTAACTTTCCTTATATTCGTTTCATTTTCTACATGAAAGAGATATGCGCTATCGGTTGAAAACAATGACTTAATTTTCTTGAACAGATAGTTATATTTTAATAATTGAGATCATAAGTCGTTTGAAGCTAGACCACCATTGAAAAACCTGGAAGCTCTGAACGGCGTGGGACTCTTCAACAGTGTACATTCATGATCCAGTCTCGCGGGGTTCGGATCCAGGATCTATCGGCCCACATTACCTAAATGAATTCATTTTATTATCTTTTAAACAACACTGAACGATTTATTAAAAGAAATCATGTTTTTATCAACTTTACATCAACAGTAATTAAAACAAATCATTTCAAATACGAATATAGTTTACAGGAAAAAAACGTTTGAATATTTCAATTATTACTTTAGATATCTTTATTAGATTTTGTGTTCTGTAACGACGACATTCTTTTTTTTTAAAAAAAACCCTGAACTTATCGCAATGGAAACTGAAACACCTTACTGTCTAACACAGTTGGCCGGCTCAGTGATTTAGAGGTTAAGCGTTCACTTGCAAGATACAAGATCCTGGGTCCTAGTCTTGTATGACATATCGTAGATGCTCAGTGCTGAAGAGTTTCATACTAGGACGAGCTGTCCGTCCAGTGCCTTCAGGTTTTCAATAGTTTACTAGCTTAAATTGATTCGTGAATTCAACTGTCAGTCTACTACAATCTCCATAAATCTTCATAATGATAAAAATTGATTTATTTATCGTTTTGTCATTAAAAATTATGTTCTATTTATTCACTATTAAACTGATAATATTGGTAATAATGAAAAGGAGGAGGAAATAAAATATTTTATTGTTATGATGAAAATAAGAGGTAAATAAATCATTATATATATATATATATATATATATATATATCATCAATAGTTCTAAAATATATATCAATGAGCATTGCTTAACACTTATCAATCTGTGTCGTGCAGAGACTGGTATCTACCCCAGACAGTGGACGAATGGTTGTGAAACCATTTATGGATCGATGGAAGTTAGACTAACACCGTTGGATGTCTGCTCATTAGTCTAGAGATTAGGCATTAGCGAGTGAGACCGAAGGTCCTGGGTTTGAATCCCGTGTGCGGGGTCGTAGTTGCGCACTAATGAGGAGTCCCATGCTAGGATAAGTTGTCCGTTGATTGTTTCCAGGTTTTCAATAATGGTCTAATATCAATCGATCTCAGTGATTTCAATCAAATGCTTAACAATCTTTATAACCCTGATACTTATCCATTAAACAACTTTACAATGAGTTAGAAAAAAGTAATCACAAAGATATGATCAATCTCAATTCATTCTATTTATGAATTAAAGTTTAATTTAGAAGAGATATTCACTTAAAACTAGTGAAAATAATATCACTGATTGAAATCAATGATACATGTAAATAACAATGAATTGATTTGATAATTAGAATTAAGATAACCAGATTCGGATTTGTTTTTGTTTTGTTTTGCATGACGCTCAACTTGTATTCTAATAAGAGCTGAATAAAAATTAGGTAAATTTAATTTGGAAAAGGTTTTGAAAATAATGAATGTAACTGTTCTGTAACCAAGTCATGAGTAGGATATTTTAGTGGCCCGTTGATCTGACTCCACTTAGATCGTACGAATGTTTGTTATCACATATCCTCGTACACAATCATCTACTTAAATCACGTTAATCAATAACGGAATTTAGATAAGTCAATTAACGAGAATGGCCTCTGAATACATATATTTTGTGTGTAAAGTGAATGTAATAGGACAAAGCAAAACGACGCCCAGGGGAGATGTCTGGTAAGCCAACTCATTTTTAGCCAGCCGTTACTCAATATTTATAGGCAGACAAAATAAACTACAGACATGTGATGAGACATGGGATATGAAGTGTACACACATATACACTCATATAAAAAGTCAAGATTGATAAGCGAATAATTAACAAGGTCAAAATATGACTCAAGCAGAATGAATAGAATAAAGTATATGGGCTTAACATAATAACTGACACTACAATATTACGTTTGAGTTGAATTGTAAACAACATTTGCTATTTATGTAGATTGTATCTGAGATGGTAAATTACTTTTTTTTTAGTCTATTCTACTGATTCATGATATAGTCAAGGATGTTTGTAGGGTTTCTCGAGATCCGACGTGTATTATCATCTAACCAACATGGAAATATATTTCATTTATGTATGGTTTGTGCATTCAGAGAGGATTATTTATGCAAATCCATTTGTCATTCGCAATAATTATTTCGTCCACTGTACAACTGTTGTTTATACTAATCTTGTTGACACAATGTGATCAACCAGCCAGTTAGTAGGTAATGGTCAATGTTTATTCTAATAGTATGAACATCCTCATGATTCAATGATTTATATTTTTAGAAATCAAATAACGCTCTATACATTATCCTTTAAGTGTAAATGAGTGACAAAGGGTCATCAGTTAAGTGATCGATAACAATCAGTTCAGTCATATTCTTGATTTAAATAGTATTGAAAGTATTTCGGTCATTTTAACTTCATAAAACTCATCATTGGACTTTATCATTAAGTATAGTGTTTGCGAGTTTGAATCTTAAAAAAATTTCTTTCATCATCGGAATACCAGTTAAATAAACATTGAACTAGAATTATCCCCAATATCTTCAATGTTAGATGCCCGTGTCGTTTCTAGAACTTTTGATCATCTCTTAGTTCATTTCAGTTGACTAAAATAATACTATAACGCAAGTGATATGGGTTATGAAAAAAACTAAATGTGACGGTGTTAAAAGAGATCTATAATGTAAAGTAGAGTCCAGTATGAAACATTGCCCAACTAAATGAACAATACTACGAACTGAATAGATATTGAAACATTAAGCATAAGCTTATTGAATATTCAAAAACCCTAGATATTAATTCAAATCTCGTTTAAACTGAACTCAAGCTGATGAAAGTGAACGATTGGCTAAGTAAGATATTAATCTTTGCAACGAGACTAATGATATACTAATTTACTATCATTTTGTTACGACGAAAGTTGTCAAACGCATATTGATCAATAACAATAACCCAAACCATAATGTAATATTTCCACCGCATAACTTACTTTGTATTTCTTCAACTTCAATTTGTTTATCTTTACCAGGAGCTTTATGTTCACACTGCGGTCCATAGAATGGCATAAAACAGCTGAAATGAAAAAAAAGTACTAAGATCAATAAAGGAAATTGCGTAATTTTTGACAAAAGTAATGAATTATTTGTTGTGGTAATTTTATGGGGAATTTCATAGGATTCAAAGTCAGTTTACATCGACACTTCAGGTCTTGCATTTCATCCTGCATGAAATTGTCGGTTAGTATTACTTCAGAGTCGTAAACTAGAATAGAAAAGCATTCCAGTGTAGTGAAGTGAAACTGACTTTTTGCCATCTGGAAAGGAGGGAAGTAAAAGTTGATAAGGACATGATCTAGATTCTAGTTATTATTAGAACCTTCAAGTCAGTGATTAAACTATTATGGTTTGATTTCCACTTAAGTCCAAACTGTAAGTTAATACTGTTAATACTAATAAAATACATGTAGCTTATGGGTAGTGTTACGTCTTTGATCCGTCTACCTAATAATATACAGGTTAGAACTTGTCTCAATCTAGATTAAGACATTGACATAATAGGCTAACTTGTTCAACCTTGTGATTCTGAAATGAAACTAACTGTCTTGTGTAGACAGATGAAAACGATTCTATCACCTGGTTGATTGACAAGCGCAAATGTGAGAAGACAAATCAACTGGAACATTACTCTATCTATTCTAGACACTAACTCCGATTCACATTCTGATTCAGATTAGTTCAAAAAGATACATGAAGAAATCGATGAGTAACACAGAAAAGAGTATGGCAGTGAATCGTACATCAAACGAAAGCTTATGGTTTGTAGAGTTAACTAGGAAAAAAAAACAAATGTTAGTGTTTTACAAGCTTTGAATTAAGTGAAACAACGTCCCCAAAAATAACTTTCGTTGTTTGTCATCGCTTCTTGCTTTTCTGTTTAAGTCAATTTCATTTATTAACTATATGCACAAAGAATAAGAGTAAGGAGTTTCTGAACTGTTAGTTAGATATTATAAACTGAAAATTTACAAAATCGCGTTGTTTGAAAATAGTAGTAAGCAGCTTGTTGAATGAGTTTTAACATTAAAAAATGACGAGTTTAACATAACCAATCAGATGAAAAAACCATGAAATCTGGGCAGTTGTTTCGTATCAGTATGGAACTCTTGAACAATGCCTAACCACAACCCTTCCATAGAGAATCAAACACAAGACGTTAAATTCAACCATGTCCGGGAGACCGAACGCCTTGGTTTGGATTCGCTATGATAGGTTCGTGGATATGGACTTTTGAGAAGTTTCATGCTAGAATGAAATGGTCGTTTAGTGCCTTTAGGTTTCTTATGATGGTCTAACAAAGGTCAGTTCATGGTTTTACAATTTTCACAAAATATTATACTAATAATATAGAAAAGGTTGTTATAAATTTAAGAAGTGAAAATATTAAATAAAAATTGTCAAAAACATTTTGGTCGCTCACAAGTAATATGATTATCATAAGCAAATATCACCTAAGCATCGTTGAGCAATGTATGTTTGTTAAGTAAATAATCTTCCAGAGTTGGTTGACGATTTATGTATAGGATGGATAAATTTCAACGTTAAAATTAGCTAGAGGAATTTCGGGTGTGCTTTGTTTCTCTGTTCTCATCAGTTTATCTGACCACTGAATTTATCCCATTTTAAACTTATTACAGAATTAAATATAATGAAATTTGTAAATTGTCATTATAATGTGACATAAAAGAGTCTTTTATCAGTTATTCTGTTTCATAGACTATCGGTAGTTTAGTATCGTATATTGTTTAATCTCCTCCCAAACAATTGATTATGTTAGTTTTAATAGTCGGATTCACGAGTCAATTGAAGCTAGACCACCATGGAAAACTTGGAATCACTGGGTGGACAACTAGTCCTATTGTGGAGCTCCTCAGCAGTACGTATCCACGATTCAAACTCAGGGCCTATCGGTCTCGCGCGCGAACGCTTAACCACTAGACCACTGAGCCGGTATCCAACGCTATTAATGTATAACTTCAATTAATTCACAAAATTGAGCGACACATCCATCATTGTCATCAGTGAGTTACTATCTCATAACAGATTCGGTTGAACTCCACTAGTTACTGCTTTTCACTAGAACTCCAGGAAATACCTGTAGTGACTCACTTTTATCACGAGAACACGATTGGTTTAATGAAAACAATTATTATTATTATTATAACCAATTGTACCTGTGCTTGTTTAATGTGCTCTTTGTTTAACTGTGTTAATGACAGCTATATTATGCTTCCATTATTATTCTTACACTTTGATTGTGACCTCGCGCGAATTCGGTTACGCTCTGTAACCAAGCTTGTATCCTGGCACGATCTCGGTATTCTTTCGATACCACGAGATCGCCAGCAAATATATCTCGACTTGGTCCATTAACTGCCTTCTGATATTTGGCTTCTCGGGGATTTTATGGATTTGTTTGGGACGTGTTTCTCTGTAACGGTGTTCATAGTCTACCGTGACTCGACGCCACGCTACATACCTCTTAGAGATCATCATCACTAGTGAGCATATAATTAGATATTATAGTAATTTTAACAATGCTTCCAGGCATTCCATGGTTGTCTAGCTACAATTGATTCATAAATTCAACTATTAAAATTACTATAATATCCACAAAACCCCGTCCCTATTTATAATTGACTATATCTTTATATAAACTTATTTAAACAGTAAACCATCTTAAAGGGAGCAAGAACAAAGATTGGTGCAGAATAATACATGAATTCATTTGATTTCGTTAGGTTCTCATCAGCTGCTTACAACCTAAATTATTTAAAATTCAACATTATTACAGATATTGACATATTTATACATAAGAGGGTGATTAAGGATCAATACATGTGTATGATGATGTAGCGAATATTCAGATAGAATTTAATGAGTTCATAAAATGTTTGATTCGAATAAATAAATAAAGTTAGAGAGGGAAAGTTCTGGAACATTGAAATAGTGATTAGAACTCATGAAAATAGATTAATGATAATAAAGAAAATAGGAATTGAAATCAGTTAGTTATGAATGACGTAATTTTAAAATTCAGGAAGAGTTGGAATAGTGAATAACGTAATAAATAAAAAAGGGGGGTTTTGTTACCAGGGTAAAGAAAGATTTATTACTGTCTCTTTTTGTATACATAGGTTTAGTTTTATACTTTAGATTGCTAACGCTTCAGCACATTTCTGAAGGTTGGAGCTTGATTGTTTATTAATCACCTTGAAGGACTTCAGTGTATCGACTTCGTATCCTCTGTCAAGGAGATGTCTTGCGATGGCACTGTTAAATGCTTTCAGTCCATTTGATGTTAAACTTTTCGGAATATGTTCTTTGAATCGGACGTAGGCTCTCCTTTCTGTTCTATCAATGTAACTGATTTGACAGATACATGTGAATTTGTATACACAGTTAGTGATAACATGAAAGAGATACTTGTCAACCTTTGATTGTGTCAATGAATATGTTGTTTTGGTGAGGACAATCAATTTTGCTGTAGCATAAGTTCTTGTCAATGCAGTTTTTAGTCTCATATTGATTGAACCTCTGACATCATCACCTTTGAATTTAAGTTGAATAAAAATAGGCTTTTTATTTGCTGTAATTTCTTTGTTTTTTTTTTATCTTCACGTTTGCCATATTTCTCAATAAATTTCAGTGGATATCCGTTATTCTTTAAACATTTTTTAACATTCATAACTTCCTCTTTGTTGTAACTTGTGTCTGCAGATTAGACGACAGCGTATTATCGATCGAACCAAAGACGCGTAAACACATAAAAACGGCCCAGAGTTCTGATTGGCCCTGCTTCCCTGTCTAGCCCAGCCAGTTGAGTCCAGAACGCAAGTCTCAGCCTCTGTAATATGAATCCTCGTATTTCAAGCATACTCTGTTTATATACCAATCAACCCGACCACAACGTACCAATAGAATAGAAAATAACATTTGTACAATAATTAGCCAGAAGTGGCTGTGAATGAGCGAGGTAGCGATTAACAGATAGCGAATAATTCATAAATGGTAAATCGTTCAATAATAGTTCATAGGTCAACATAAAGCTCATAATAAGAGGGGCATGAATATGAACAGTTTAGTTACATAACAATTATACAATAAAAAATATACTCATAATATTGGTCCATAATTGGATCCCAAAAATTACCAATCATTATTCTCATCGGGATACAACACTCTTCTAGTGTACTGCCGGCAGTACAGTAAACCATTTAACAAAACTACTTATCTACAACATTAACAATATCTCTATACTAAAAATATTCATTAAAGAAAAAAAAGAGAAAAAAATATTCTAAAATTTATCACAATTTAGTTGTTGTTTTTGTTTTTATTCATCTTGTAACAAAATTGAATCATCAACCAGAACTGGTGACAATGAAAAGAAAATCTACTAGAAGAATAATGTTCCAATAAGATTGATTCAATATTTTTCATTTATTTCTGTACATTTTTACATTGATAATGTAACTTATATAATGAAAGGTCGGTGAAAAGTTACATCATATTGAGATGATTTAAATGTAACCAGTTGGATAAACTCAATAATAATCATCATCGTCATAATAATAAGCGAGATATACAGGATAATAAAAAAGGGAGGGGGAGGGGGGAAGGGCGGTAGAAACAAACTATTAAAATGAATTTAATTAGAATTTTATTATAAATTAATTAAACTAAGCATCGTTATTAATTTTCATAGGAGAACTATAGTAACCTGATATGGTTTTTTCATTTGGTAACGTAATTGAAAAATAATTACATTTTTTAATGATTATTTTATTATTATTCTTAGGGGGGAAAATAGACATAAATTATTGCTTGCATTTGTTGTTGTTGTTGCTACTTTTCTTATTATAGATGATAATATGAGCATAGTAACTGGATAGGGATTGCATTATACTATTGAATTCATTATTACGTAAAACATTGTTATCTTAGTCTAGTTATAGAAGAATGGTTATTAAGTGAAGTCATTATATATGATTTTTATTTTGGTGACGAAAATATTACTTATTAATGAATATTAGTAGACTTTGACATAATTACTTTCGTCTACTGAATAGAGTCAATTAGGAATTGTAATAAAAAACTGAATCTTAAATAGATGGTAATGAGTAGATTTAGAAAAAACAATTGAGTTAATTGTTTAGTGACATGGACTATTGTAATGAGACGAAATTCACAGTTATTTAACTAAATAGTTATCTTGTTTTGGTATAAAACAGATTACTAAGGATTAAATACAAGTAATTCAGTAAATTTAATTTAAAAGCAAGATTCTATAGTGTACATCACAGATTGATCATAGCTGAGCAATCACAAAAACAAAACAGAAAGCATTGGACAGTTGTTTTGTCACGATTACGCTCGTTTGCTCTCTAGAGCTTAATTTCGGAAAATGATTCTATTAGTTCTGACGAGAAACCGTGGTCAGTAGAGTTTAACCATGTCAAGTATGAGATAGTTACTTACTGATTATATTGAAGGATGATTGCGCAATTGCACGGACTGATCGAATTTAGATATATAAATTATTGAATACTATCTCAATGGTCTTAAAATTAGAGGCTATCTACGAGACTTGGGAGTAATGTTTTCGATGATTCTGTGGGGTTGTGGATATGGACTACTGAGGAGTCTTGTATTCGGACGAAATAGATGACCACTACTCTCTATTTCCCACTGATTGTTTGAATAACAGTAGTTCATGATGATACTTTCAACATTCAACAATATACATCAGCCCTTATGGTAATAGAGGAAAGTTGACAATTTTCATGAATGGACTAATAAATATCATTTTAATCATCTAAAAGTCATTTCACACTTTGAGATTTTCCACTGTTCTACCTTAAAGGAGTCGTCAGTTTTTCAGGATTCTTTAATCAACAAAAAATTAGAAACATTATTCTTTAAGTTCATATCAGTGAAACTAGTACAAGATTCTAAAATTTACACCAATCTACCAGCGCATAGTAATCTTCAATAGTTTAGTCAATAGTGTTTATTAAACGTTATCGATCATATTTGCAACTTTTTCACTAAGCTGACTTACCAGACATCATGGTGATATCATGTTTGTATTTAGCAAGCTAAAAGCAATATTAACCGAAGGTGACTGATAATTATCTAGATGTTTTATCTAAGCTGTTATCGAGTTGTTAGTATGCATTTTTTATTAAACTTCCATTATGGATAAATCATTTAATAAGTTAATGAGCAAACTTTTGATTATTCAAAGTTTAGGAGAAATTTATTGATCTATTGATGATAAGTTGGTTGTTTATGAAACCAAACTATTAAGGGAAGCTTCTAAATGATTTTAAAGCAAAGACAAGGTCATTAACCTGAACATATTATGTAGAAAATGAATATGTCTATGCAAATCATTAACACGGAAATGATGTGATAAATTTAGGATGAACTCTGTTCTGTAGAACAGTTACTCTCCAATGAATTAAGATCTAACTTTTAGGCTTAGTTCTTACCAGTCATGCAAGAATACTAACCAATGAAAAGTTAATTTCTAGATGGTTAAATTTAGTACAATAACTCACAATAGTGGACAAATTTTCTTGATTGTGTTCCAATATAACCCGTTTCATAACTAGATGATAATATGAATATAGTAACTGGATAGAGATTGCAGTTAATCAAAAATGAGTTCACGAAACAAACAAAAGCTATCTAGTGCCACCCATTATCATCTAAATCTTCTTCTGCTGATTGTTACTAGAAAGTTAAGTATATTGAGTATATGAGTAGATGAATTCATCATGTTAATTTCGAACATAAATTTTAATGCATTAAAACATGACAGACATAAATAATCAAGAGCTTCATTCACGTAGACTTAGTTGACATTAGACGCCAAATTGACGTCACTATATCTTCTAAAAATACCTATTGAAGTCCCCTTAACCTACTTTACTTCTCATAAAAAAACTACAAAGAGTGGAAAAGTCTGTTGGAAACTTATGCAAACTAAACTTGATCGGTTGATTAAAATAATTCCTTAACTATTTCCTTTTAAATGATTATAATATGTCAGAAAACTATTCAGTCTACTATATTGAAAAATTAGGAAATCTATTTGTTGTATAGAATTTATACGTTTACTGAATTAAATTGAATAGAAGTTGATCATTTTATATGATTCTTTGTTAATTTCTAACCTCCCTCCCCCCCTTATAATATTAATCAATTGATTTTCTTGTCACCAGGCGGTAATTAATTTTTCTGCCAAATTTATTTCGTTCTTTGAAAATCATGACAGTTACCGAGAAAATTCTTTATCCCATAAGTAGTTATTTTTTTAAAAAAAATTCAAAATTCTCCCAAAAGTTCTCATAAGCAAAGGTAGGCTACATATAATATAAGTAGTATAAACAACATTTAGAAAAATAATGAATAAGATTCTTAAGTGAATACTATCTCACTGATTTGCTAGAAGCTTTCACATTTACATTTTAATGACAGACCATAACAATACATAATGTAGCTGGGATTAGTATAAATTTAATTCACAAATGCTGATCTTATCGATATCAGATCATTATCCCCTAAAATGCTTAAACATATGTGAATAAGTTTTTTATCTACTAACTCGATGCTGACATGGAGTAGGAATAAGCAAAAAAATTGGATCAATCTAGTGGTGTTGGTTCACCTATTTTGTATACCTTCATTAATCAAAATTATTTGTTTTTTCAACGGTTAAGATCATGAGTCAGATGAAGATAGACCACCATGGAAAGCCTGGAAGCACTGGACGGCCGTTTCGTCATGGGTTCGAATCTCGTAGGGGGCGAGGTCGTGGATGCGCACTTCTGAGGAGTCCCACAATAGAACGAAACGGCCGTCCAGTGCTTCCAGGTTTTCCATGGTGGTCTAGCTTCAACTAACTTATGATCTTAACCACTGAAATTACTATGATATCCAAAAAACCCATCTGATATTATTTGTTTTTGTTCATAATTGAGAGAAATTGTTTAAAACTAGGTTTTCTCACAAACCATTGCATCAACTTCATTGAAATTTATGCGAAAGCGGAGATACAACATCTAAGGAAAATAAATGCATCACCTATGGAATAAGTTATGCCACACGTTACGAGAACTAAATTGGATAATGTGAATCATACTTTATTTACTTATACACGAGTATACGCTATATCAAAACAACATGGTATACTATCACTACTACTAATGAAACGACAGACATAACTCTTACTGGAAAGATGTTCAAATATTATATAGAGTGAATTCCAAGAAAGTTGAAGAAGTCTTAGAAGCATGAAATTCAGAGTAATCACTAATCAGGAAGTACATCAATATAGATCTAATTTATACAATAAAAACGAATCAACCACATGATCATAGATCAATTAAAGAAGACTATCAGAATGAATTGATTTAACACTTCATTTATGAGTAGAATGATCTTTTCGACATGATATGAATGTTGCTAATGTTGTACAGTAGGACTATAAGAGCTCCACAAGCAAACAAACTATTTTGGTCAATTAAAAAACAAAATCAGAATAGACATTGATTGTTTAACGTAGATTATAAATGTAGATTATTTGTTTTTCTCTGATCTAAACAGTTTAACTATGAATAAGGTGTAACTCACTTGATTAAAGGTAAATTTTCTAGCCTATCTCACTTAAATAATAAAGTGATGTGAGGAGAAGATTGATCTAAGTATACAAAAAACTCATACACCAGAAGTGACAGATAAATTCAATTCAGAAAATATTCTGGATGGGAAGTCAAACGATATTGATCAATATCTTTATATAATTTTATGTTTGCATTGAGACTCATTTGATCTTTTAAACACCAGGTAACTATTTACAGGAATCCTCAAGGCCAAAGGAAAAGAGGAAGACCAGAGAATACATTGCGCCGGGAAATGGAGATAGACATGAGAAAAATGAACAAGAATTGGATGAAACTGGAAAAGAAGGCCCAGGACAGAGTAGGTTGGAGAATGCTGGTCGGCTGCCTATGCTCCATTAGGAGTAACAGGCATAAGTAAGTAAGTAAGTTACTATTTACAACTTAATTGTTGGATAATTTGTTTTCAATAGACACTGTTATTGAATTATATTAGATCTCCATTTCATTATATGAAAAAAAATTCTCTAATGAATCAGGAAAATAACCGTTTTAGTATGATATTCCAATGAAGAAGGAAACGGATATTTAGACACTAGGTCTAACTATTCGTCGGTCGTAGTGAAATTTACCACAAATATATTTTTCTGACCAAATTTCACATGAGGAAAAGTATCTGTTATTGTACAATAATGAATTGTAATTCGTCAAGAATGTATGTATAAAAACATCATTTAGTATATCACTACCCATAAATTTATACTTTATTTATTATTTATATCATATTTGAAATGATCTCTGAAGATTTCATACAATTAAGACAAAATCTTTTGTATTATAAACAGAAATAGATGATGGGTTGCAGTGGAATCCAGGATGTACGTTTCATCAGCTGAATTTATCTGATTCCTAGAGTTGAAGTTCACCACTGTACTGGAACCTAGTACCGTTCACTTCCAAAGTCATCACGTTATCCACTTGGATACTGAGTTCAGATATCCACTAGCCTGAGTATTCTGCTTAGGATGCAGATATTCCAGTAAGAGACTGATCAATTTCAGTCCAAAAACATTAGTGGGAAGATTTAAACAAGCAAACCAAAATGAATCAATATCTTTTTCATATATATATATATATATATATATATATATATATATATATATATATATATATATATATATATATATATATATATATATATATATTCATGACAATTTTTCAAACTGACCTGCACATATACACACTTGGATCTCCGGATAAATAAAAGCATTCTCCACCATTTTGACAATAATCTTTAGCTTGAACTGGACAATGATTAAAAATTGGCACTGAAAAGTTAAAAAAAACAAAAAAAAACATTTGATAAAGTGAAAAGAAACTATACACATGGGGATTATTTGAGTAATTGATTTAATGATTATATTGAAACATAAAATATAGTTATTGATACACATGAAATCAATTATCGTTATGGAATTATATGAGTTGGTAAACTATTAGAAACTAAACAATACTGAAAAATTATTTTGTTCTTGTATAGAAATCCTCAGCTGTCTGCGTTTTTCACTTTATGTAGTACATAACTACAGAATATTAACCTCTCATGGTTGATAAAATATCTATGGATTACTAAGTCCTCATTTTCAAATCCAATCAAGACCTATGAGTCTATACTACAGTAAACGTCATAAATTAAAGACCAAACAACTATTGAGAATGATTTAAAAAAGGGATGATATCAGTTCGGAATGAAATTTACTAACATAATAGATAGTTATGCAATAAAATTGTTTTATTACTTAAACTATAACAGTGTTGATAATCAAAATATACTGAGTTTTAGGTTGCATAATTTTTTATTTTAGTCAATATAAATTAAGGATGGGTGAACACATACGAAAATGGTTGCAGAAACAAATGGATTCCAATGGTCAAATAAGATCACAAAATAGACAGACATCATCCACCATTGCGAAACATTTGATTGAGACGGGTCATAAAGTTGACGTCAAATCAGCATTTGTAGTGTTATACGAAAGCCTTCAAGGACGTATACTAAGGTTTATTGAAGCCTTGGCTATACAGAAATTGAAACCCCCTTTATGTGTTCAGAAACAATTTGTCCTTACACTTAACCTACCCTGGTAATGCTGATTGATTATACAAATTGGTAATCACATTTGTTTTTGTGTAGTTTAATATTTTGCCTTTGTTATGACTTACCCTTAACCTGTCTAGTTGACCTTTTAATTTTCATTTATAAATGTTCTTAACAAGTATATGTATGATCAGATTGTTCGTAATATAAAATACACAGAACTTTAAAGAGAATAATATGAATTCATTTTCTTTCATAATAATGATCATCATCAGCTACTTAAAACCTGTGATATATATAACTATATGATTCTTATTTCTGTTACTATCAACATTGTGGAATGCTTTCTCACATGTTATGAAGATATATTGAAAATTATTATTTAACTGCGTAAATTTATCTGCAACTTTGCTATACTATATTTGACATGTGATCATATTCATTGAAAAATTGATTGAAGGTAAATGTTGACACCGTTTGATATCGGCTTATTGATCTACAAGTAAAATATTTGCGTACGAGATCGATGGTTCTGGATGTGCAACAGTGAGGAGTTCCATATTCGGATAAAATGGCAGTGTTTTGCTTTGAGGTTCTTAGTGTTGGTCTAAGATGATTACAGTAAAACTCAACAATCTCCATAATTCTATACCGATTATCGAAAAATGTTGACGAAAACCTGACGAAATAAGATGATTTCAAGTTACTCTGATAAAGTCTAACTTTTAGTATATGGAAATTCATAATGAGAGCTAGATACACTCCTTATATTTCAGAAAGCATCCATATTATTGCCCTATTGCCGTTAAACTATATAAGGTATGGTAAGAATGTAATAAAGTGACAAACCCGAAATAATTGAAATGAATTTGTAGCCAGTTATTAGTCAGTCAGACAATAGTTTCTTTAAATGATTAGTTTATGGAAAAGAAAACAGTAATATAACAAAAAGCATTTGGAATTTACATAATAAATCAATCGAACAAACAACTTCATGAAAGTTCACGCATTATGCTTATGGAACGTTAGTCTTGTACGTCCACCAAAAAAAAACACAAATGATTTTTTAAAGAGTCAGATCATTCTTGAATAGAGTTGGGAATTAGGACTAGAGTTTTCATTACGAATTGATGTTAGCTATGTTGAAAGAATCCATTGTAACAATATGGACAAATAGATATCGCGTAGATATTTATGAGGCACTGCCTTGAATCCAATCAGATCATCCATAAAATATAATACTACCGAATTAAGGATTTTAGAGTTATTAATTTCAAATGGAATTGAGTAGGTGATGTGTTTTAAACTATACAAAAGTCTTTCTAATACATGTTTTATGTGTTATAAACTAATGGCTGCAATTAAACTCAACTCGATTTCGCAATCATGTCAGTCTACTTAGCGACTAATCAAAATGAAGTGAAAATTATCATATCCACCATCTTTGTATGCAATAGCGATTGACTTTCTTCGTTCTGTATATTTTCTTTTGTGTAACTGCATAATTTAACGTTTCAATATGTTGAAATTCCACAGTTAATGTAATACTCATAGCATAATCTAGTTTTTTTTTAAAAAATTAAATAACTACATAAACGTAAACATAACCATTATTTCACTTGGCAATACATTAAGTTTACATAACAACAATCAATTTAAAACCATTCAAATTAAAAATCCTTCATTTTCGAATTAACCTCCAAAAAAAAACACACACACACACGCATACAAAAAACTTTTTTCTCAATTCTGATTGGCTCATCTCTATACAATATATTCTATCCACAAAATATAAAAAAAAGAAATACATCAGTTACATAATATTAAATGTTTAAATGTTCAATTTTTTTTTAGAAAAATGAATTAAAACAAATTTTAAATTGAATTATTGATTACAAAAATTAATTATTTTAGTTTTAACAAATTTTGAACATGCAAAAATTTTCTCTCTGTTTTTTTTTTCTTTTTTAGTATCAGTTTACAAGTAGAATGTAAAACGGATGAATTATTTATTTATTTTTGTAATTTCTATTAACAAATAAAAAAACTGTTTGTTTTTATCCATTTTCTCTCTCATGTAACATCATACATTGAGATTAGATGGTGGTTGGAGGTAGTTGATAGGAAACCCTGGACACGGGTTTCGTGCTACTCGACACTCGTCAGCAAGGTGTACCTGTAATCTTGAGAGAACTGGTGCTCCCTGGCGGATTCGATCTCGTGTCACCCAGCTTCACAGTCAGAGACGTTATCACTGAGCTATCCGGGCTGCTACTGACCTCCTGTAGGACTGAGATGCAATTACTATTGATTGATCACTGGGTGGTGATAAATGTCATGTGTGTCAAATCCTCATTTAGTGCATATCGAATGCTATCGATCATGTTGCAATGTATCATGTCGACTACCTCCAACCACCATTCAATCTCAATATATAGTGCCCTCAGTGTCTAGTCACCTAGACTGGTGGCCACATTACAACATGATCGATAGCATTCGATCTGCACTAAATAAAGACTTGACACACATGACATTGATCACCACCCAGTGATCAATCAGTTGTGAACATTATACATACTCAATGTTGTTTTATTTGTATATTTTTTTATAATTTTTAAGTTAGGAGAGAGAAAAAAATCAAAAGAGAAGATTTAAGATAAATAGAATATATTTATAGACACTTATTGTGTGTCATTGTTAATATCATGTTTCGTTTAACAAAATTTTATTTAACAATCTATAGATTTATCGGAAATACATTTTTTTTGAAAGAAAAGAGAAAAAAAAGAAAAGAAAACTAGGAAATCAAAAATCAATTTATTATTTGAACAAAATTGGATGATATTTATAATCAAAGAAAAAGATTATGTGTTCACTGAAGTTAGACCACCATGGGAAACTTTGAAGTAATAGATGGTCGTTTTGTCCTATTGTAATTGTCTAGATTCAATTGACTTATGATCTCAAATATTGAAATTACTATAATCTTTACAAACCCCCCCTTCTGATACTAATCAACATATACTCACTGATGATTGACTTTAATATGTATATCCTGCAGTTCTAGTGAAAAGCAACGACTAGTGGAGTTCAATCGGTTCAGTTGTGAGACAGTAACTCACTGATGACAATGGTGGATGTATCGCTCATTTTCGTGATTTAGTTGAAGTTAGATATTGACAACGTTGGATGTCAACTCAGTGATGTAGGACTTAAGTGCTCGTGCGTGAGACTGATAGGTCATGGGTTCGAATCTCAAGAGGAGGGATTGTGGATGCTCACTGTTGAGGAGCATCATACTAGGATGAGTTGTCCATCTAGTACTTACAGGTTCTTCATGGTGGTCTAGCTTCAATTTACTCATGATCTCAACTATCAAATTTACTACAATCTTCACAAAACCCCTTCTGATACCAAAGAAAATGGATTGAGTATAAATACTTTCTGTTAGACAGTAACAACTATAAATGAGAATGATAAATTTTGGGATCGATTATATTTTTGATGAGCATTAGTTATATTTTAAGAGGATATTACATAGTTTGTGAAATGTTTTTCATATTCTACTAATAGTAAGCTTTCATTTGAGTGTTGTTATATGTTTTTTTTAATGATAAACTTATTGTAGATCAATTATTAACTAATTATTCAAGGTGGGAGGTTACCCTAAATGTCCTAGTTGGGGACATGTAGTTCATGTATATGATTGTATAGGTTTTGGAGTCATATATATATATTCATTTTAAATTGGCTATCGTCTTGGGACTTAGAGGTAAATTATTTTTTCGTAGATCAATAAACGGTAGTATATTAGGTCAATTAGTTGAGACATCATCATTATTGGTTCGAGCATTGCAGAGAACGGTAGTAATTCTTTCAATCATGAATAGTTAAGCATATATATGTATATGATGAGACGTTTCTAGAAATATTTATACCTTAAAACCGTATAAAGTATCATATCATGTGGTGTATTTATAATAATTACATGACAAGGATATTCTTTCCTGATAAAATTCACTCTCTAAAGATGATTTACAACAAATATGGGAAAAAAAGTTCACATTATGTACATTGAGTCACAATTATGAAAATTCCAATTAATACTGTGAACGAATATTCGAATGTGTTTTTGAACATAATAGAGCATTCACAACAATGAGGTATGAAGTTAAATACAACCTAGTTCTTGTATTTCTGATATTTAGATCCTGGTGGAATTTAGGGAGA